AAGTCAACTTATGTTTCAAACAGTATGAAATATTACGATCCAGCACATGATACCAGAGCAACACCACTATTTGATCTACCAATTAGGAGAACTGATTACACAAAATATGAGCCAATAAATTATATGCTTACAACATTCAACGAATTTTATACCAAAAAATTGCAAAACAGTGATAAAAATTTAATTGATTTAGAAGTAAATTTATCAACAGTAAAACTGAGAATAGAGAATTATTTAAAGCAAAGCAGATAAATACAAAAATTTGTTATGGATTATAGAAATTTTAAGCAGATGAAAAATTAATTTATGAAATTTATATTATTTACATGAGAGGAGCAATAATTTTACATTTTCTCTCTCAAAAATGCTTGATAAAAATCAAATTGTATTATATTATATATATTTAATTAAATTATTTTCAATAAACCACCAAGGCGAAGGAACGCTGTTCGGTGCAGTTATTATTATTAATTAATAAGTTCACTGAAGTTAAAAATGTTGAAAAATATTTTGGCTAGCAATTTGTTGTTTACGATTTTGGTTTCAGGTCTTTGCACAGAATCAAAATGCTGCCGTACATAATCAAGCAGTTGACGATGAGGACTACTAGGAGGACTACGTTTATGTTGTCGATGTTTTCGATGACGACCGGTTTTAATTACATGTAGCATTAAGATTTCTTTTTAAACAATAGCATTGTAACGTTTTGTTATTATGCTGGGCTTGAGTTTTGTGGCCTTGACCAAAGTACGGGTAGTTCGGTATATAAAATAACCCGTATAGAAGTATTGGCGCCATTAAAATTTATTCAAAATATTTGTCATTGTATGTCGCTATTTTTTTCGAATAAGATTTTATTTTGTTTGGCTTTAAAGATCGGCTTGTTGTGTACTACTCAAAAGTTCATGTTCATTTTTTGCTTGCTTGAGCCAATTTCGCAAATCTTGTGTGCGCTCAACTAAGCTTGTTTTATATGTTTGTGCCAAAGGCGACTGGGAAACCATTGTATTCGCGGCAATCGATTGAGAAAGAATAGCTGCTGATGAATTAACAGTATCGGGTATGCGACTAGAAGCTAATCGATAGTGGTCAAGCCTTTCAGACAACCTGATAACCGGTTGATTCAGAGCATAGTTGATTGATGTTGCACAATGTTGTTGATTCAATTCTTCAGGAAGAAGTGTTGTTGAAACTTGACTTGTAGGCCACATAATATCTTGATAAATTAAGGATGGTGGTGGGGCTAAACCTAAAATGATAAACAAATTGAAAAATATTCAAATGAGTATAATAGCATATATACTTATAAAACATATACGTAAGTACCTTGAGTTTGCTGTTTGCTCAAAATATCCCAAATTTCACGAATTTCAGCATTCAATTGCTCCAAACTTTGAATTATTTCAGTGGATTCTTGATAAATTTCTTTACGTTGATCATTTCTATGAGTATCGCTTGCGAAATCAGTGCTGCTGAAGCCTGAGCTTGAATGAGATGACGACAAATCACTAATAGTTGCATCATCTCGATGAATGTCCGTTGCAAATAGGTTACCATGAGGTTGTTCCTTATTGTCATACAGACGTTGCAGTGATTGCTCCAAATGGCGTAAGCGTATCACTTTTTCACCCAGCAACGAACGGGTACGATGAAGATTTACTTCCATTTCGGTCAATTCTTTTTCTTCTTGAATCATTTGATCAACAGTGTGACGACTTGTGTCCTTATGATGATTCTTGACTTCACGTTGACGAGCTCGAAAATTGCTGCGTTGCATGTGAAGCGATTCTTTGGCACGACGTACAGAATCCCTTTCAAGATGTATTCGATGCTTAAAGAATTCCAGTTCTGAGCTTACTAATTCTTTACCACCACTTTCAACTTTAAATGGATAACGAAGATGATAGGTCGTATCTACTGAATTATCAGGGAATTGATCTTCTAAATCCTCCAATTTTTCTAATTGTCGTCGTAAATTTTCAACCGGTCGCAATTGGTCATTGCTACGCAAATTCGAAGAATTCAATCGCGAAGTTGATGCCGATTTTGTCCGTGTAAATTGTTTCTTTTTCTGATTTCTTTGTTTTCCATGAGACTCACGAACATTGTTATTGTTTTCTTGTTGAAATGCCTCTGTAACTAAATTACCGTTATCAGCAAATATTGTATATGGCATTGATCGACGTGAATTGTGATGACAATTATTTGAAACAGTTGTGTCGCTTTGACTAATAAGAAAAACAAGAAAATAAATGAAATCATACTATGAATTATTATGTAAAAATAAGAGATCTTCTTTAAAAATTGATTAAAATAATAGAATTGTATAATATGATAATAGGAGATTTATCATGTAATGCACATACCTTATTGATGTGTCGTCTGGACACTGTTGGCTCTGAATATGTGACAAATATTTTGCGGCAACCGTGAATTTTTTATCTGACCTCTCACCAATCAATGCGGAACGATCTCCACGTTCCATTTCAATTTGCTGAACATTTAAAGCTAACGCTTTACCAATATCGGTTTTGTTCACATTCGTTTGTTTATTCGAATTAGACCTTTCAGTCTCCGAACCTGTGGTTAAACTTTGTTGCTCGCGTCTTTGATGGCGTCTCTCCAATGATATTTTAACATCGTTTTTCAGACGTACATATTTATCTTTCAAACATCGATATTTATCCTCTAATAATCGCTTTTCACAACGAATTTTTTCATACAAATGACTATCGCCTGTTTCGCGCATTTTCTGTCGTTCCAATTCCAAATCATGAGCCATTCTATCTTTCATTTGTTGTATATTCATGATGTGGTCTTTTTTTATCAAATCTTCTTCAGTTTTTAAATCTCGCTCCAATTCCTGCAATATTGTTTTATGGTTTTCTTGTAGTTTATATTCGGCCAATCGATGCTCTTGATTTAGTATTTTTCTCTTTTCTTCGAGTTCATCCTTTAGTTGTTGCTTGAATTTTTCAACTTCAACATTGTGCTGACTTTCTAGTTCAATTTTGCGGTCATTTTTTTTTTCTTCGAGCCGATCTTCCATTGCTTTTAACTGAATTTCATGCTCTTTTTCTAGCGCGAATCGCTTTTCATTAAATACTTTCTCTAATTTATTTTGTTCTTCTTGCCATTTAATGTCAAATTCCGGATCATAATATATATCAATTGAATTTTTATGATGAACATCTGAATTAGTATTAGCCTGTCCAAGAAATGGATTTTCATCATCTTGCAGAATTTCTATATCTTGTTTCTCAAGTTCGAAAACTTTCAAACTTTGAGAAATCGGTTTTGGAAAATTACTTTTTTTCAATTCCTTATCACCGAAATTGTTTGCACTTTTTACTGAAGTAACCGATTCAGAATCAGTATCTTCATACATGGGCCTAATTCTACCAGATTCGGAACGTTGGTCAAATAAGGTTGTTAAAATTTTCGGTGTCGACTGAGTTGTAAAATCTTTCTCTTCGATAGACTTTTGGTCATCTTGTGCACTTCGATTTAAAGTCATTGTTATTTCTTTAACATGTGTTTCGACTCCATCAGCGTTATTGAAGTCCCAATCAGCATTCTCATCATTAGAAGAATTATCATCACCAGAAGCCAGACTCTTATTGATATCGCCTTTTTTAGACTCATTCAAATTAAATCGTACCTGGGTATTTTCACATAAAAACACTATAATTAATAGTAAGTAATAAGTAATTGAAATAATGAAAATAATATTGTGAAAGAATATAATTTATATGTACAGTGAATCTAATATTTTTGGTAGACAAAATTTTGCATGACACACTCCACCAAACAGGCCAAACCGTGGCCGAGATGTCAAATCACAAATGTCATTAGTTGTCCCTATCGAAATCTGCTGTCAAGCAAGTTATATATTAATTATTGTATTACATTTTGTTGGAGACTTATTTATTTAGAAATATATAAAAAGAATGTGAATGTGAACAAAAAAGATAAAAAAAATTAATATCCAGACGAATTATGTAATAAAATAAATATTATAATTCAATTACTCAGCGGCTAGTATGATTTCATACGTCTATACCGCTGCAAAGCGGTACCAATATATACAA